ATAATCTCACCCCTACCATGTTATATTCGAAAACACGGACTTGTTATTAAAAAGAAAACAAAAATAATACATTCACGTCACATTTTTACATTATTAAGACAAGTTTGGAATTATTTATACTTGCTGTCAGGTATTTAGGGTCGTTACCATTAAATTGTGATGTGCCATGAATGGGATATAGTTCATTTTGCGTTTTAGTACTCGAACGTTATTCATTTTCACACCAGTTCCCAATTCCAAGCATGAAAGAGAAAGAATGTGTTAGAATGGATGAAAGAAGAAATATTTTTATGATTATGTATATAATATTTAAACAAAACAAATTTAATTGTTACTGTATTATGTATGTGTTTGAGTGGAATAAACATGAGAGAGCATAAACAATATCTATAAAATTTTTTTTTTTAAATGGAGTCACGTAACTCTCTCTCCCTCACTTTTCATTCCTTTGGTAGGTTTTATACATACAATATCTCACGTATTGTCAATCTTGAGGACTAAAGTGTTATCCGGTCCCTTAATTTCCCTGCAAAATTTCTGCCTTATATCTCATCAACTCATATCCTTGAAATATGATCAAAGTTTGCAAAGCTGTCTATGACAAGTAGTGAAGAACTTTTTCATGAGTAGAGATCCTTAAATATATAAAGAAGAAAAAAGAAAAAGATTATGACCTGTAAAAATAGATTAAAGGTACAAAAATCTAAAATCTAGTCTAATCTAATCTAAAAAGAAGAAATTTTATGAATAGTGCCTTGCATACAAGTTTCTCTTTGGTAGACAATGTAGCCACATACAAGCTTTCTACCGATCTGTATGTACTTATACAATTCAATGCTTTCTACCTACATGAATGGTATATAAGCTGTTGTTGTGGTTATTATAAATTTTCCCCATAATACAACTAAAGTGTTTAAATCACCATTAGCCTAGATTGCTGTGGACAATCCCTATGGTGTTAGTGCTATTGAAATTAACTTAGTAATTCACTGTATCTAAATGTAATTTGATATATAATACAATATTACATTTTCAAATACATTGGATGATATTAAAATATTGTCAACGCTATGTAATTTTAAAGAACAAAAATTTATAAATTAAAAAATAATAAATTTATAGGAAAATAAGAATAAAAATACACTAGTTCAGATATTTAGAATTAGGTATTATTTTAGATTTATTTGTTTAATTCCGCTAATATGGTAGAAGAAATTCATCAACTGATTATGTCAGGGTTTAATAAATTTTACATTTTAATAGTACTACTAAGGATAACATTGATATGTTTATAATGACTATATTAATATAGTTGAATGTCATTTATGTAAAATTAAGAAGTTATAATCTCCTATTGGAATAACAGTATTCCACGATATTATTTATTTTAGCTGACTATACCCTCATGCCACATCATTGTAAATTATTAAAATGAATTGTCACCAAATGCATTTGAAACTGAAATTATGGTTCAAAATAATTTATTTATTTATACACCAAGTGTGGTGTAGTTTAATTAATGGCTATAAATTTATACAAATTTGAACTGTATGATAATGTTGTTAGAATTCAATAATATGCATACAAATTGAGTATTATGCTAATTCAGATGGTGGAACTCGTATAATAATTACAAGCGCCACTGCCAAAGAAGGTCGGATATTTAATTTGTGTTATGATATATTGCATACTAGCGACCCACTTTGCGTTTTGCTCGAAGAAAATTCGGTGGACACAGCGTGCTCATATCGTTAGTATATCTACTATCTACTATCGTCTCTGTTACAAATAATAAATACCTAAAATCTTTTTGTGTATTACAAAAATTGTTGAACTGAGAACGCTAGTAGGTATCCACGTGGTTTGCGGTAGGCACCATCCCAAAACGAGGCCCGTGAAGGTAGGTTGTAAGCTATAGCACCCTAAACAGAGAAAGTGGGCCTGTCCTATCTCACTTACAGTACAGGCCGAGCTGACGGAATCGGGGTAGAATGCTAATGAGAAACTCCGACTTTGGTAAATGTCACCTCGATTTATACTGTGTGGTTTTTTAAAGTTTAAAAAAATTGACCCTACCTTACATGGATATCTCTTATTAATAGGGACTTAAGAAACGTCGAATTAACACTCCAGACGACCCAGGACAGACTTTACTGGGGAATATTGACCAAATGGACCAGACCAGACACAGACCAGTCAAAACAAAATAATGACGTTAAAAAAGGTTTAATTCTTTCCATTAGGGCGACATCTTGTTTGCCATTTCAGTTACATAAATAAAAAAATGGAAAAGAGATAAGAAATGCCAAGCTATTTTACCTACTGTGGAATGATCTGGTCGTCCGCACCCCCTAAGAGAGTCCAGGTTGGAGCTTCGCGGCGATCACCTTTCCCCAGGCATCAACTCCGGTGGCAATAGCTCCCGTGGGACTTGGTTAACTTGGCAGGAACTCTAAGATATATAAAAGTAAAACCAAAATGAAATAAGACTAAATATTATGTACAACTAACCTAACTTAAGATATAGAGCCATATTTGGCGATGTTTTTGTCTTTTTTGTTAGTTTTTTTAACATCCTTCTATTAAATTCGTTTTCCTAAAGTCAGCCATAAAGGTTGTGACACTACCGCAAAATCACTTTCTCTCTGTTTACATCCTTCTCCTAATGGAGGATATCATTAAATTTAAACACATTCTTAATAGATATTTTGTATTTTTTGGTGTTATTTTTTAGATATTTTGTGTTTATTATTTCTCTCTAAATATAGCACTTATTGAAGTTACATAGGTATACCTCTTGCCCACGCACTCTTGCAGGGCCTAAGTTCCAAAATGGGAGAAATAGCTGAAGACTGATGCCGGGCTACCTACTGTCATCAATCAAGTGCATAATATGTTTGACGTAACAAACGAATACACAATTTGCATACCCAGTTCGTTGCCAACGTATAAATTATTATTTATTGTTTGTTTAGACTAATTCTTTCCATTTTACCTCACCTTTGCTGTTATAATGTCTGCATTTATTTATGCGAATCTTTAGATTGATTTGTAGACATTATTAATGATTCGCATGTAACGGAACAGTGTTAGAATTTATTTCTTTAGCTGTTTATATGTCATAGAGAAGTATCCTAACTTTAGATAAATATATAGTTGTATATTTTATCAATAAGAGGAAAGGAAGGCTTATGATTAAAGAACTGGCAAATCTAGGGCCTTAAAGAATTCAGAATATCTTAGAGTAGATTAGGCTATATGGCCTTGCAGGTACAAGTCCGTACAGCCTAATCTACTCTAAGATATTCTGAATTCTTTAAGGCCCTAGATTTGCCAGTTCTTTTCTTTTTCTAATATTTTAAATGATCAAAACAATACAATAATAGCTTTGTATCTTATATCGATATAGGAAGTAACAGTACCTAATTCTATCGTATTATTCTATGGACAAATCAGTGGTGGTACATATATATAGGCGACAGTTACCATTACCATTAGGTAATTGCCCTTCCGATCGAACCCTCGTCTCCTCTCCGATCGATCCTCCTTAGAATTCAAACGTGGATCGAAATTATGACGGCCTGAGCCGAGGTTCGAACCCCTAGCTGTACCGTCAGACTAACGTCGTAGCCGCCAGGCGGGAGTTAACCTTTAAACGCTGGAGACCCTCCGACCCTCCTTTAAAGGAGGATCGGCCCCACAGGACCACCGATCCTCTATCATTCGGTGAAGCTGTAAAGGCCAACAGCATTAGAGTACTCCGAAAAAAAAATATTAGGTTGGCCGTCAGCTTGTATGCTAATAACAAAAAAATGTTTGTAACCAAATTAGGTATGCAAATTAGCAAGGCAATGAGGACTTTCTATTTCTGTCAGACATTTATACAAATACTGCGCATGTTAACGAACTTTGATAATTCTTAACATTTTGCAGTAAAACCTACTACGTACCAATTTTTTATAGTAAAAGTCGAAACTGCTCTATGATCATAGTTCTTTTCGAACGTTTGCCACCATTCACTCGGTAAATATTAGGTTAAGTAATGGTAAAAGCACGAAAAAATTACTCTTTTATAAAACCCGGACAGCCTCAGTGGTCTAGTGGTTTAGCACACCGTCTTATTTCCGAAGGTCGCTGGTTCCGTGCATGGTATAAATGTATTCCCAGTCTGGAAACCAACGAGTCACTTATGATTGTTTATATTGGTTTATGTTTATGAATAATGTATATTATATGTGTATTTAAAAAATATATATTTAAGTATTTCCGTCAGTTGCTCAGTACCCATCAAGTAAGCTTGGAACTAGATGGCGCTGTATGAATAGTCCTGCGAATAATAATATATATTTTCCAATATAAGTTGACAAAGAGTAAAAACCTACGCTTTAGCCATCCAAAATTATATACATTCTTTATTGCACAGATAATACAGTAATAAAATAGTTTAGAGACGATGTAATTTTTTTAATTACCTATTAAGTAAAACTATTAAGGACCTGTACCGACAATTTCGTCCGCGTAGAATAGTCCTTTCTCAGGGTCTAGACTATCTGTGTAACAAATTTCATTTAAATCGGTTCAGTTGTTTTGGCGTGAAAGTGGGATAGATATACAGAGTTATTATAATATTATTACTGCAGGTACTCTGTCATATTAAAACTATCGGACGGATCCTAAAGAAATTTAGTACCTAGACGTATTCTTGACTAATATGATATTTTATATGCTATTCACTAGCAACACCGCGAAATAGGGCTGGTTTTTGTAATAAACTGGCAACCCTACGCATGACAGCGTGCATAAACATGCAACTACATTCTATAGGCCAATATGAACGTTTAAGAAAGAGGTTGTACCAGTAACTTTTGAGTTAGCATGTCCCCTAAAAGGTTGTCAACGCCATAACTGCTCTATGGATTGTTTGCTATTGTTTTTTACTGGTACACTGCATACTAGCAGGTGTGAGGCCGTATGGCTCCGCGCATGCGCGCCAGTCTCCGATCTACCTGCCCAAGAGTCGGTTGTGCGGTCGTTTCTCATTTTAAAAACACGAGAAAAAAGTTTTTTTTCTGGATTTCGATAATGTGTTAGTTACGCACTTTTTCGTTTGAGGTGTGAAGTGTACGGAAACTGTGTTCACAGTGGGTTCTCTTTTAATTTTTTTTTGTGTATATGGAACGTCTGTCCGGTAGTTTAGAAAGATTTTCGTGTTTACGTTAAACGAGTGGTTTTTCGTGTTGGAATTTACGCTTTTTTCCGTTACCGATATATATATATTTTTCTTCTATCTGAACTATTTACGGTGAGTTGTAATTAAGTTTTTTTTTAATAATTTACTTTTAATTTGCGCGTGCGCTATTGTTGTGGTGCGATAGTCACGACTAGAATAAAGGTGTACATACACGAAAATTATCTATTAATTTTTATATTACCAAGTACCTATATCTTTAATAATTTACTTTTAATTTACTGTTTTATTTAGACACAAAATACGTAAACTCTAAATATTATTTCGTGTTATTCACAATGAATTCAAACTGTTGATATTGTTAGCAAGTTTTTTAGAAATGAAATAGTAATGATTCTAGCTTTCTCGTCAAACGTCTCGTCGTCGTCTTTTCTCGAGAAAAAATACAATCAGAAAGATATATTTGTCAATATAATTTTATGTGTTATGCGGGAATCGAACTCGTTACTACCGGTAGTAGCATACTAAACCGCTAGACCGTGGATGTCGTAGTAATAGAACGCTATAGCTAATGACCTTGCTGGCATGAATAATATATAATAATAATAATCCAGGATAATTCAGGCAGCGCCATCTAGACCCGAGCTAAGCAGAGCTTGTGTTATGGATATTAGATAACAGATAGAAATACTTAAATATATATATATTTTTGTTTATAGATCTTACTAATATCATAAACGCGGAAGTGTGAGCGTGTGAGAATGGACGGGTGGATGAATGAATGGATTTTTCTTATTCTATCACGCAAAAACTACTGAATGGCTTTTAATGAAAATTTACAAAAATATAGTTTTATAATTCAGAATAACATGTGAGCTATAAATTTCACGCGAGTGAGACTTATATATAAAAGAATCTAAAACCAATAAACATAAAAACGAATCTGTACCGTCCGATGAAGCGAACCCGCGACCATCGGAAGTAAAGCGGTATGCTAAACCGCTAGACCACCGAGGCCGTTCAAGCCTGAATAAGATTCCAAAACTATTCATAAAATTGGCTTGCTGTGAAATGAATGATTGCATACAGTGTCTCTGCAGTAATGTTGTCGAGTTCTCGCCAGAGGTTGCGATATAGTATTGACATTTCTATAGCTCATTAGCGCCTCAAGCACTACAATTAGATCTAAATACAGCTATTATGAATGCTGTAGTTTTTGACCTATTGTGATGTCATTTAAATTATATTAAACTATCTATGCCCGCGACTTCGTCCGAGTGGAATATTGACCTTGACCAAATAAAGAAAAAATATTTAATAAGCAAACCCAAAAAAAGTTGCATCGTTCTAACTTCAAAAATGAGGAATTTCCAAACAAACTTTCGTCCCCTTTTTTATTTTGGGTAAGTATATAAAATATACCCTTAAAGGAGTCCTAAGGCCTAAACTAAGGATATCTCGAATCCCCCTTGAGGGGGACCTGAAGGGGAATTTCAGATATTCTTAGTTCAGAACGAAATGCATATTTTATTAATCAATGAAATTCACGTCGTATTTGGACTATTCTAATGTTGTTGGCTGCAGCTGTCCTTTACAGCTTCACTGGACGATAGGGGGCCGATATAGATGGCTCTCCAAACCCGTGGAATGGCTTATGGAGCGGCTGAAGGCAAACTCCTACCTCACGGATACGACCTTTCGTACTTGACAATTTTAATTGTCTAAATATACAAATAAAAATAAAAAAGAAATATTAGCACTCCTTCTAGATTCATAGAGAACTATGCAAACTATAAGTTTGCGAAATTAAATACTCCACCGGGGGGAAGGGGATTGTTAGTAATGGGAACTAGTAATCCCCATTGCTAGCAATGTACCATGTTAGGTCGACCTCCACGCGGTTCCTCCTGGAAAGCATCGTGATAAATTCCTAGTGAATTTGTCACGATAGGCTAACTGACCTGACATCATATTCATCTTATCATCTTCCACTGGTGCCCCGCCAGTGTAAACCGTTAGCGCAGGCGGGTGCACCATTTCATTATCATCCTCAAAACATAAAAAAAAACATACTCCACCGAGCGCGCAACTTTCGTAAAAGTGGAGGTACAAAGTTTTTGCTTAACGTATTAATATAGTGATGATTATTTTAAGTAACGTAATGATGGTCGCGTCTTTACATTTAATGATAGCTCATAGGTTGTAGTTGGAGATCATTTAATTATACCACGGTTAGACCGAGCCGGTGTGTTTATGCTAGCATCGCTGAATACTTATTGAAGTTACATAGCCTTAACCTTTTTGTGCCGACTACTTACCGTTATACTACAATCCTCATATCTTATCCTTATATTTATAGGCATTAGGTATCGTAGCTTAGTGGTTTAGTGCCCTGAATAACATCCAAGGGGCCGTGACTTCAAATCTGGCAAATAAAAAATTTTGACCATCCCATCCAAGACAATAGTGATGATGGTTTTTGTTTTATATTTGGTTAGTTCCTTCCTATATCTTAATGATTTACGTCACAAATTCATTATGGTGATTACATATGGAACTGATGAACTGACACGCATTATATACAAACTTACGCTAACATTCTTCTTTCCACTTTTGTATTTTTCCTACTTTTTCGATAATATATATATATATATATATATATATATATATTATACTATATATATAATATATATACGATAATATATAATATATATACTATTTTTTGGAAAACCATTGGAGGTAGCTCTGAAAATATTGCTTTCAAAAATAATTCCGCCTTATTGTAATTAAATACGTCTAAGTCAATATATTATTTGTGTCTTTTCTTTATTATATACTGCAAATAAAATATATTCTAAAGTCTCAACGAGTAAACAGATCGTAATCAAAGACTTGAGAAAAAAAAAGACATCCTTAAGAAAAAATAATAGATTTTTATTTATATATTCATTCAAGTATTGTGCAGAAATTAACAACAAAAGAGTTTCGATTTCCAAATTCACAGTCAACACAAACAGTTATTAATAAACTCATCAACCGAGTAAAAACATTTCTTTAATAAATAATTTTTAGTTTGATTTGTTTGTTCACTTAAATATGAAGCAAAAGAGTTTTCATGGAAGAAATATTTTTTTGTTACTACCTGTCGGGTTTAAAACTATACTCTTTTTGGATTATTGAGGAAAACAATATTAAACAAAACTCTATGACCTTTCAAGGTCTTGAATAAAAAGATAATCTGACTATTCCATCTGTAATGCTACAGGCTTTTACAAAAAAATAGTATGACAACTTTTTGGCCATCTTATCTTACTAATATTATAAACGCAAAAGTGTGTGAGTATGGTTAGATGGTTGGATGGATGTTTGTTACTCTTTTACGCATAAACTACTGAAGGAATTTGGATGAAACTTATAGTAATATAGCTTATGTATCAGAATGACACATAGACTATAAATTTCATGCGAGTGAAAAGTGAGCACAGATAGTATTAAAATAAAAGCATTTGCATCTTTGACAGATGCAACAATCTATAAAAATATGTGTTTCCTTTTTCTTTGTTTGTCAGATTTTGATACCATCTGTTGTACATTTTATTGACTCTATCCACCTTGTTTAGAAGTTTAGACCTTTAACCTACCGCGTTTGTCAAATGAGAGCCGGTAGCTAGGCAGTAAACCATCTGACATGTACAATGAATGCCGCTAAAGATGCGGAGAGGAATCTTCTGCTATTAATTATAATCCTGCTTTGGTAATAATTATACCTCAATAGACATTCGCATTCTGAACATTGTAAGCACTTAATTGATTAGAGTTATGTTTATTAGTATAATAATAATTATTATTAATTAATAAAGTATAAATAAGTTTAATGTTAAATAATATTAGTAAACAATATATACTAGAACAATGAACCTAAAACTAAAAACCTTAAAAAATATAATACACTGAATGACTAAAATATATTATTAAAAGGAGTCCCTTTAGGCAAGGTTCCGAAGACTGGCAGCGTTCCCCCTTTGATAGCTAAAGCTAGACTAATTCTTTGTCCGAGGAAGCTGCCAGCTCTTCGGTCTTCTGTGATGTCGAAAAATATTTTGCTATTTTCTTAAAGAGCCTTATAGCACTAGGACCCCACGGACCAAGGGTCTCGGAACCGAATGGGACTAAATCATATTCAGAGTTTAAATGTATATATGATATGACATAAAACAATATCTAACAATTTCAGGTGATAATATTACAGTATTCATACATAATCTATTCTTTAGGAACTTCAAGTGAAATCTATTGAAAAAAAATTGAGGTTATAAAGGTAAATTTATTGAATGGAATTTCATAGCGTTTTGTTCTTCTCAGCGTCATTTATTTAAGTATATATATATTATTCATGTATAAGTACTAGCTGTTACCCGAGACATAGTCTGTATTGAATTTTATTTTTAAATTAAAACAAATAAAATTTCTAAATTAAAAGTAGCCTAAGTTACTCCTTATAATATTAGCTTTCTGCGAGTATAAGTCGGGTCAAAATCGGTCTAACCATTTTAGCGATTAGCAAGAACAAACATTCAGATATTTCTTTTATATAAGTACCGTATATAAAATGCATATGATGTAAATCTGTTGATTTGAAAATACACTTCAATTTTATTTACTAGTAGAGAATTACAATTGTAATATTTGTATAGTTTAGAAATATGCATATCTCACAGTGTTATCTGGAGTTAGTTTGTATTACAATCGAATCGTTCTGTAATACATTACAAGTAATCTTGGCAAATGATAATGACGAAAATACGCATTGTGAAAGGAAAGACGGAATGTTGTATTAGTAATAACAATGACGTTTTGTATGTAAGTCGGAGAGCTGATTTCTGTGAGAATTCGATTATCTGATACAAATCATTCACAATAATAATGATAATAAACCCTACAAAGATATAATAACTAGTGGTCGAAATTCGTCATTGAGCATTATTAAGGTTTAATAGATGCACATCAATGAGACATGTATATTGCATTTGCATATTCTAAGAATATTACTTGTAATTTTATTACAAATGTAGGTTTTTATAGACGAATATAATTTCTACTTCTAATGTATTATA